AATCCGTTTTATGCATTTGCGTTTGGACAGAGATAACCGGAGTTTTGCGTTTTTGCACGGCACAGTTTGCCCCCAAAACAACAACAACAAACAAAACGTGCGACCTCTGATCACTAAAGCATGGATCATACTGCCTTAACAGCGGTTCACAGCAGCGATCCTCGCTCCACATCAGAGAGCAGCAAAGTGATCACACACGCTCGAAAACAACCAAAACAGGAGCTAAACCAGGATCAAACCAGGGCTGAGGACTGGGGTCAATGCTTGTAAACATATGTCTTCACCATGGATCTATAATAACACGTCTTCACCCTGAGTTTCTACTATGACAGTGCCGCTACAGAACGAAAGTTACGAATGTAACTTTGGTTCTATGAATCCTGGATGACCGCCAGAGGCAGTGCTTAAATGCAAATTATTTCATAAATCATGCGGTTTTGCATGTACATCAACATACATTGTAGATATAAAGAATCCTCAATATATTTAGAAATATATATATGTTTTGCATTTTTATAGTAGGTAGATCATTTTGACTAGATCATTTTATAAGTAGCTCGCATGCTGAAAAAGTGGGAGCACCCCTGTCCTACACCTTTCACATGGTGTGAAAACACACACCTAATATGACTCTACAGCGCCACCTATGGAAAGCTTCTGACCTAAACTTTTCCGATCTTCACCAAAGTTGCAAAATCAAATCTTGACATCTGTACGAGCAAAATACTACTCTACGTAGAGGGTGCATGTCCCGGAGGTGACCACTAGGGACGCACTTTTTCATATCAATGAACTTTTATGTACGTAACCCTGGTCAGATAGGGCTGCCAATTCGTCGGCAAGTACGCCGCGTGACGCTTGTGGGACTGGCGCCCGGGAGGCGGTCGCAAGAGTGGCGAGGCCTTTCATCGCCGCTTGCGGCTTTAATTGAATTTAAAATGTCCTATTAGTCACACATAACTGTGTCAAGTGCCTCAAGATTAGGCTTTTTTTGTGGCAGGAGTTTCAAAGTCATTTAAAAGATCTTTATTTACATGACCTAGTCAACATGTTTCGACCCAGAAGTGGTCTTCCTCAGGGCTTTTCGGTTGTAAAATAGATATATATATATAGATATATAAATATATGAATGTTTTCATTATCATTTTGGATTGTACAAACATAAATTGAACTGAGGGATCTTATGGGCTTACTTACACGTTAAAAAGGTCAGTTTGTACCTTTATTGTTTTGTATTGTTTTAAGTTTTTTACTTTAATGACATCAAACATTATGACAAGCTGCCAATGTCAGAGAGGTGTAAACAAGGCTGTGGGGAGTAGTTTTTGTGGGCACACATGACTCGCTCCAGATTCCTGCGTCACCACCCCCCACATCTCTGAGTGTGAAATACTGCATGATGGTGGTCTTTGCGCTCCATACTCCTCATCTTTCAGCCTGCCCAAAAAGCCAGAGCCTGGCTGGTCAGTCAGCAAAAGCCCAAGCCAGATAGAGATAAGGTCTTTTATTAAACCCCACTGACATTAAGTCAGTCACATGTCTTTTGCTCACTCAAGCCTGTAACTAACGTACAGCTGCTGCTGCGCCTGCTTGCAGATCGGGTTAAGGATGAACTCTCTCCCCTAAATAAAACCACTGGATACAGTTACACACTTATGTCCAACTAAATAAAGAGTCACTTATTTTTGGCTTTCATCTGTTCCTCTGATCCAGCAATGCGACTCACAAGCTAAGGGAAGAGCGCTGCATACACTTACAAAATTACAACAAACAAATGGAGTGGGCAAAACTACTGCACATCCTTAGGGCAACACTGTGTAACTGTTTAGAGATTGCCCATTATTTTGTCTTAGTCCATGGACATAGAACTAGGAACATTGCTCAACATGTTACATGGCACATTTTATGCCAAACTGTGGATAACATGGACAAGTAAGAAAAATAAATGTGGAGATGTAGGCCTGCTAACAGCAAGGTGATGTGTTTGTAATAAAAACTTCCAAAATGGAAATACATGCTTTTATGGTATTCTCTCCTTTTTTGGCAAAAAGTTACACAAAGGGGCTTTAACGTTCATGCCGCGGTTTTGGTGCTGTCCCTGCCTTCACTCCTCATCTCTCTGATGTAACTCGACACTTTCTCACAACAAGCGCCTGACTCTGCCAAGTTGTTTCCCTTTGTTGCTCCAGTGTTGCTATAGTGACCCCGTATGTGTGTGCGCGTGTGTCTGCGTGTGCACTAGTGACCGATGCAAACTTGCACTGGTGTAAACTTGGACCCTGCTGCTTATGTTACTCAGAGTAAAACATGTGACTTAGGAATAGTCGTATTTTAAGGGGAAAAGATTTAACAACTAGAAGCATGGCTGAAATGATATCCAACTGTGATGTAGGGCGCAATCTGATGAAAGAAATATCAAGATTTTGTTTAGATTTTTTCTTAAATTTATTTGAGGTATTATCTAAAACAGCAATATGTAAGATTTTCATGTCAAGTCTACTTTTCGAATACTTCTTTAACTGATAACAGTTCAGCCGAGATAAATAAGTATTGTTATTGTTTTCATTTCGATGTCCCGCCCTCCACCGTTTCACCAATCAGAAAGTCTGTGATCCGGGTTGCCAGAACTCACCACGTCGAGCTAATCTCACTCGTAAAGTAACATGTGGCCACAGTACCAAAAAGGTCTCGTTATGATTCTCAAATCATTATTGACAAAACAAGGAATAAAACGAGGATTTCTATCAAGGCCTTTGTGAAAAATGTGTTATAAATTTGTTTTTGACAAAACTCTTGTCTATTCAGTTTTTATTATTATAGTCCCAGCTGGATTTGTCTGCAAATCTGGCAACCTGAGTCAGGGAGAGTGGGAGAGGGCAGTACCACTTTTGGCCAGATTTTTACACACTGCTCCTTTAAGTATGTTATATGTACCATGCACACAAATTAAACTGTCCATATTAAGGAAAAAACTGGTGATTGTGTCTCTGGATTAGATATTTCTCCAAAGTCAGAGAAATATCTAATCGAGCTGAAGTTATCCACTTCAGCTTGATGATTGGTGGCTCTCGATTCGAATACAAATGTCTAAAATTGATACTTAGAATAGTCGCGATAGCATGATAATGTTTCGATGTTTGGCACAGCTCTACTGTGATGGAGCCATATTATTTTGAGATCAGAAGTGTGGCCTGACAGTGTGGGATAGCTCACACAGGCTGCTCTTTGCTCAGCACCAGGGAGGGCACAAAGAGCCAGAGGGGCAATCCACTGTTTGTTTGAACAAGGTCAATACACATCCACACACTCACATCAGCTGAATAGGGTCTTTGCTAATTAAGCTTTATCAAAACAACTAATAATCTACAATAAATACATTATGCTTAGTTCTCATGTCTATCAAGGAAATCGATTTGTGTTGTGCTGTGTTTGACTTATCCTGGACCATGAGTCTGTAATAAAAGTTTGATGTTGCTGATGATGTGGTACCCTTGCCTTTTTCAGTACAAACCTTGTTAGTACCTGACTTGAACTCAGTCCTAACTCTAAAGCCTGTTTGTCCATGAGAGCGGATCATTCATTGTTTATGGGTCTACCCAAGGTTTCTTTCTTCTCCCACTGGGCTTTTGAGTTTGTAATATTTAAAATACTATAACATTTTCTATTCTTCTGTTGGCATTTAAACTATTCAGCTGTTGTGATTTTGTTGCTTTAGAAACAGCCCCCAATCTGAGTCAGGTGTACCAGGGGGCCTGTCCTACACATGAGGAGTGGGAAATATTGCCCTGTAGTGCACAATACCCTGGGGCTTCTCAAATTTGTGCTGGAGCAGACACACTCAATTAAGCTAGTTAAATACGCACAAGAAAACCTCCACCCACCAGTGGTTTACAGTTTATCTGTCTCCTGGCAACACATGTGCCAATTACGGTGGTCCCAGAGGATGGGCAGAATCAGCTAAAGTTTACATGAGGACATTTGCTCTGTTTAGCTTCAAATGATGTGTCTGTGTCTGTGGCGTGTACGACTGCGTCTGGATGGTTTTTTTTACGATTATTTTAGTCATCTATCGATTAATACCTTTGATTAATCAAGTAATAAAAAAGATTCTTACTTTCCACGATCCTTATATTAGATATTTCCTTAAAACACGTCATTTTTATATGTTGTGTTAAAGTTGTACTAATTTTAATTGTAAAATCATTTTTGCGTTTTCACTGCAGTAACAGCTCAACATGGAAACAAATCTGTTGCGTGCAGGATAGTTTCACTTGGTTTTACAAGGTTTCATACGCTTTTATGTTATTATAAATAATACCCAAATAATTGAGGCAAGGACCTTTCACCCATTCTTTATTCTTTTTTATCTTGGAATATTAGTCAATTCTCAACTAATGGAACAAATTACTTCATCTACTGGTATTAAAACTATAAACTTTAGACAATACAAAAGGGTTTGTCGACAGACAACAAACCATGGTGTTTAGCAAACACAAACGGTGCTGATCTCTCTCTGTGCTTTGTGACACCAGAGCTCAAGGCTTTTGTACATGGTCAGTCAAGAATTTATACCCATCAAGGTTTTAGATGTGGCACATTTATAGCAAATACAGGTGATTAGATTATAGAACCAGTTTGGAAGAATTACAGGCAGTAAGGGCAAGTAATTTCTTTGGAGGCATGAAACAAGGTCATGCATGACAAAGACTTGTTAAAAACAGTAATGGCTGAATTATGCATTGTCACATATGGTGGGATACGATCTTGGTCTAACCAGCATTCAAATAGTTAATGATTGCCCTGAAGGAAGCCTGTAAGGGAAAATCTAAGTACAACAGGGCATAAATAGTTTTTTTTTTTTTAAATAGGTACTTAAATTGTACTCATTATCTTTATCAAAGCCATATAAAGAAATGCTGTTACCTCTCTCTGTAACTGATGCCTGCCACAAGAAAAACACATGGGCTTCGTTTGTAAAAGTAATACGTAAAACATAATACCTTTACTATGGGGTGGCCACCAGAGGCTGCTTTCACAGCTCCTCGACTGCCTTCAGTCTCATAATGTGCTCGATGATGGGCTTTGGGCTGCACCTCGATCTTGAGTTCATACTGGCCAAACTGGTTTGGAAGTGGCCAGTCTAGAGGGGGCAGTGATGAGGTCCTAAACAAAAAGATGTTTAGAAATGAAGCAATCATACATTACAAAAAAGTAATATGTGTATCAGCTCTTCATGAATATGGACAAATGATAACCAGAACCCTAAATTAAAATATTAATAAATGTAGCAACAGCGGCACGAGTAATCGGAATCAAATCAAAGTGCAAAGACTGCAATTATTTAGATTAAATAATTTTGCAAACATTCTTAGAACATACAACATCACTGCAAATGTCATAAACTCGTTATTGAGAGCTGCAAAAAGGTAGTATTTCTCTTCATTTGAGCACATTTTGACATTTTATCTGTCAATAGAAAATCTTAGATTGAAGCCTAGTGGGATTTTAAGTGAGAATTTGTCAAATAAAGAAGCTTCACAAAATAAATCACAAATCGGATCGTAAGCACAATCTGAAATGAGACATTTCTCATTTAGTTGAAAAAAAAAACTATCCGTTTAGAAGAGAGGGGTTGTGCATTAAAAAACGTAACATGGCAGGTCCACGAATTAATAGCCGTTGAGGGAATTCCCTTGCAAAGTGACACATTACAAAAGATTGTGACAATGCAAACTACTATTCAAATAATGTACTTCCTGAGAGACTTCTGACCGCCAACATGACAGGGATTTCTATAAAGCACACACTGTACAGATTTTTAACTCAACTAGAACAACACGATGGATCCTCTCACAATGTAAATGGGTCTTTCATCACCATCATATTAACACACCAAGTTTCAGTTTTCACACACACACACACAAACACACACACACACACACACAAACACAAACACACACAAACACCCTCACACACACACAAACACAAACACCCTCACACACACTATGCCCCCTTGTTGACAGGGTAATAATGGTCGGAATAGGTAGAATCACCCTGAGACAGTGAGAGTGAGAGCTCCTCATCGTCATAGTTCTGCCTAAAGTAGTCGTACAGCTGATACAGAGTGTTTTTCCTCAGGTTTTCTCTGGGCATGTCACAATCCTATTTGAACAGCTGCATCTGCGAATGACACACTCAGTGGCCTCAGCTCCACAGGGAGACTGCATAGGAACATATAATGCTAATGTGACTTTTCATATTGTTTCCTCAATATAAGAAAACCACAACATTCTGTGTGTTTGCTCCATCATAGAAACATAATAGCTGAAGAAGTGGAAGCAAGCCTTTTTGGTTTTATGAATACAAAATTGTGATGATCTAATGTTTCAGCAGTGTATGTTTTGAGTGACCAGATTCAATTGAGCTGCAGAAGGCGGCATGATCTAAAATGTTACATGAATGAATGCGTTGATAATTATTGTTATTATGTTTGTTATTTACGTTTTTATCGGACGTACCTCCATCTAAACATATGAGTTCATGACGTAATCAGGAAGTGCTGCTTTGCATGGCTGCTACTGTAACAGGATCCCGAGTGGACACAGGAAATATGAGCTTGTGACGAAGCCGAGTGAGAGGCACAAAGACGAATATTCTCAAGTTTCTCATCCACACACCTCTCTTCCTCGCAAGACCTTGTTCTCTCATTGGTATCATCCTTGTTCACTAAAATGATAATTCATCTTAAAAGCTAAGATTTACTTTAGCTCAAGTGGCTTAAGGGTAACTTCAAATGAATGTTTTATTCATTGAGAAGATCTTTCAACAATCTTCAATACATCATATATTTTCTTTTGACTTTTTAGAAAATAGAAAGTGTCCTTTATCTAGGAACATATGTTGACAAACCCAGCTCTCGCTATCGCTGTCATTTGTTAGAATGACACTTTTATAAGATAAACATGCCTAACTTATGTATCACCAGTGTATTTACCTGAATATTGGTGTGTGTCCTGGTTTGGGTTTATTCCATGAGAAATGTGAGGGCACTGAAAGGAACTGTTCTCCTGGGCCATCCTTCTTCAGACTGTGCACCATGTCCTCGGACGGAGAGTCCAGGCTGGGAGACATACTACCTGGGTCGTCCAGGCCTATGTCTCCTTTGCCCTGAACCATAGCAGTTCGGTCCTGGGACGTTTTCCTGGTCTTGGATGGGATGTCTGCCTCAGATGGGCAGCACTGGAAGGGTGTGAGACCCATGGAAGAGCCACTGAGCCAGGTATCCTCAGTCACACTTCCCCGGGGCGAGGGTCCTGGTGTGGGGGTCGGGGAGCGGTGTGGGGACACTGAGCCACCATAGCAGAGGTCAGCGCTGGAGTGGCGCCTCTTTCCACAGGGAGAGTTAGGCCGGGATGAAGGCCGAGAGGGAGGCCGTGGGCTGAGCCAGTTCTCATCAGTCACACTGGTGCGCGGGGAGTGGCAGGGCGACTGACGGGGCGACAGGCTAATGGGGTGATGCACGAACGCGGGGTGGTGGTGCTGCCAGGAAGGCTGCTCGTCCAACAGCCCTCCCCCGGCCTGAGGGGAGGCACATCCTGGAGAGGTCAGCGGAGAGCCCAGCGTGAAGCGGGCAGCCGCTTCATTCAGTTCTGAGTCCACATCATCGTAAACATGAGAGAAAGACTCGCAGGACGACGCATCAGAGAACCAGCTCCGGGAGGAGAGGCTGCTGCAGGGGCTCGGGCTCAGGGAGGAGTCCCGGTACGAATGGTCAAGGGGCAGGTATAGGTGATCTCTGGACAGGGGCCTGTCACCGTGGTAATTCCTATCCAGACCATTGGGCCTCAGGTCGTCCTCATTGGCCTCCATCTCCTGCTGACAGCTGGGCGAGATAGAGGTGATTTGGATGCTGGGACATTCAAAGGCTTTGGGAGCCTCCACCGGGGCAGACGGCAGCAGAGGAGATGTGCCATATTTGTGGTGTGATTCGAAACCTGAGTGCATAGAGCCCTGTTTGTGCAGCTGAAGGCGCGGAGACGCACTGATGACCTGTGAGTGAGAATGCACGCCATGACGACTCAGGTTCATTGTCTGGTGGTGGGAGACGAGAGAGTGAGGCTGCTCCACATTCAGGACGTAGAATGAAGTGTTGTCGTCAGGTTCTATGTCTAAAGCAGAAACAAACAGAAAAAAGAATAAAGTCACACTTTAGGCTTTCACACTGAAAAATCCAAGGGCACCCGCTCCTTGCAGACATGAGTTGGACCCTACACCTTTTACAAGAGTTTGCTCAGTAGGAACACGCATTTAGGAATTTCGATCCAAAAACACTTGGTGAAAAGAACACTGTTTTATAGATGGTGGGTTTCTTGTGAGTCAGGCGAAGGTTATAATTAAAGGAGCACACAAGTCACACGAGCGATGGTGACATCTCTGCATAATGCCAGCGTTACAAGCCGTGAAGCCTGTTGCACGCGCCTCTCTTTTCTTTTTAAACCACATAAATATGCTGTAAATTGTCTGTTGCTCCTCGTGGATGACAATTGTGCCTTAGTCCATTTTATTGTGATTACATTATTATTACATTATTTTAAATCAATCAATCAACTTTTATTTGTAGATTCGCTTTTCTCACACAAGTTATAACAAATTGCAAATTAGGAATAAACCATAAACTTAAAAAATACACAGGGCATTAAAAACAAATATCAAGGTCACGCAAGGTATTAAAAACATAAACATTTAAATCACAAAAATAATTAAAATAAAACATTAAAATCATGAATCAGAATTTCCAAGTCTGCATTAGACATTTTATTTTTATTTTTGGCAATATTTTTTATGTGGTTGTGGAAATTAAAGTCAGAGTCCATTATCACCCCTAGATTTTTGACCTTATTTTGAAGGTTTTAGGGGGAGAGACTGGAGGTGACCGATAACGCTCTCTCTTTGTTTGTGGGAACTGGGGATTTTGACTTATTTATTTTGACATGTCTCATGTATTTTTTGTCTAGGCCTTAATTACTGCGTCTGCAGTATGACAAATACTTGTTTGGCTTTTGGAATGTCCTTGACCAATGTGCATGGATGGCTTTATGGGAACAAAACATCCATATAACTTGTTAATAAAGATAACAATTTGGAACAGTGAACTTGCCATTGAATTACTTTGGCCAATAATTCTCCTGATTATGTGGACTTTATCTATGTATCTTATTATAACACTGGTTATATCTGAAACATTTGCCAGGGGAGTCCACAGAGCACTTGTACTGGCAGTGGCAGTTTCGGAGTCATATTAACATCTTAATTTTATTACTTAGTACTTATATTACACTCTCCCCTGTTTCCATCAGCCCTACTCAGTTCTACTCTACCCCAATTGGGATCGTACTTTTTTAGTACCTGCATGGCCCATTTCTAACCAGGCCGAGCTGGTACTAAAGTGTTCTAGATGACTTGATTGGCTGAGTGCTGCTGGAAACCAAGGAAAATCCACAGATACTGGTTTGTTGTGGGTAGGTTGCTAAGTGACGATACCGGATACTAAAGCATATAGTGTATGGTAGGGTAGAGTAGAGCCGAGTAGAGTGGAGTAGAGAAGGATCAAGTAGGGCTGGTGGAAACAGGGCTTTAGTAAATGTATATTTCCTAGTAGTGGCGGAAATGTCACACTTTACTATATAAGGTCAAATCTGGCTCAGCCAAAAGAGAAGCTGGACTATAGTGGGCTGTTAAAAGCTTCTCTGTTTAGGTTAGTGTGTTAAAGAAGTATAATGTCAACCACCAGAAGCTAAACTTCTATAGTGAATTTCAAAAAGGGAGAGCAGTTTAGTTTATGCACATGGCAGATGATTGTACAATTGTCACATCAACAAAACTTTGCCTATAACAGCAGAGTGCAGGAAACCCATCACCCGGCTGCGAGTGCTGTCATCACTGCCAGCCCCACTGCCTATTTATACTAAAGGTCATCCAGCACAGGCCGAACACACCACAGAATGGTTTGTTACAAGTTATTGATAAACTGAACAACATGCTCTGCTGCTCACAGAGACAGGAACAAGTCACATACTGTCGGACACCATCAAAAACAGTATACTTAAAATCGTGCTTAATTTATAGATGTTTTTGTGACATATTTGGCGAACTCAAACCACAGTGTAGCCGTACAGGATGAGGTTGTGAAATAGTTTCACTTGACTTCCCTGTTTTTCTAAAGCTGAATATCCTTTTAGGAATAAGTATATAACTACTTAACTACTTATTAAAACTTTAAATATATATTATTTGTGTATACCAGCTTGGCTGCATTATTGGCTGAATAAGTTAAAATATTTAAGAGGGAGCGTGATCTCCTATATTCTGTGTCTGAACAACCACAGGCAGAGACAGCAGTGGAGAGCTCTTTATTTATAGCCACTGTGCACTGGCCCTGCCTGTCTGTCACAAGACCACAGCGGATCCTCTGACAACAGTGGCCGAGTGACAGCCAGCAGGAAACGGACAAATACAATTTTTCATGTCAATGTTTTTCACAAGCTAAAGCATGTTACAATTATTTTCTAAAAACGAGGCAGGATGCAGGTCAGGCAGGTCTGTCCTCTTACTGACCTGTGCCACCACAACATTACAGCAGGCACAGTCAACTTAGGACAGAGGTCAGATTTACAACTCAGGTTAAAAACATAAGACACAGAGTGAGAGAATTATTTTATTATTGTGTCACATACTGGAGTGTCCATACATCAGATAGCCAATCTGGTTAAATTAAGATCTCTAAGAGGCTTTGCTGTACCTAAGCTAATAATAGCTCTGCTTCAATGGGAGGTTTGCGGGAAGCTCCTTGTTGCACAAAGACTATTGTGTGGTCTTCAACATTAACTCAGAAAGAGCAGTGAGGTGACTGAGCTGATGCTGACGCTGACACAGTGGACAAAGCAGACATATGCCCCCCTCCTGACAGGTCCATATTACAAGTTCACTGAAGGATACGACATGACACAGGTGCTGTACGGACCATACATTTTTAGATTGTAGTCAATATTATAGAAAGTAACTTGAATTTCAGTTCACCTTTGATTGCTAAAAACTGCCTGGCTTAGGGCAGATATGAAAGAGTTTTTTTTTAATGTTCTCACTTACAAATAAAGCTACAGTTTGAGAAGAATCTTGGGAAAATATATGGAAATATTCAATTAATTTATATCAATCAAGACTAGAACAATTACATCACATCTAAAAACATCTTGCAAACCCCAGTTTTGGTCCTACCAGGTCTGTGTGTCATGACCCCACCACTTTAGAACCCACTGGCATATGGAACCTTGCACTTCAGTGTATTGTAGAGCTGTCATCAACCAAATAAATGTTAGGGTGACTAAAGACATACCCAGTCAATTGTTTAGTCAACTAAACAAAGGAAAACACTCTCTTGACTACTGATACTTAGTGGACTGACCCAAACCAACAGATTAATACAGTATTATCTAAACCTCTGTGGCTTATGATATGTGCTTGTTTCCCACAAAAATCCTTCAATTAAAGCCTTAGTCAACTTACAAAATTATTGGTTGACAAAGATTAAGAGATCCTTCATTTCCACAGTAGGGACGTTTCAATCACAATTTACAGAACAGTAGGAATGAGGGGTACACAACACAAGATGTGATAAGAGAATATTAAATACAACACAAATTCATACTTAAACTGACAGCCCTTGTCAACTGTACAATTGATTTTGTGAACAGCTACCTGCACAAGGCCTGACAAATATGAGCGTCTAAGGTTACCCTGGAGCCCCTGCAACATGTGGTCAGAAGCTGGACAGTAACCTAAGCCAGGGTTCCCTTTGTGGAGGAGCAGCGGCTGATTAGCAGAGGCTCTCGTTACGTTCCCTGTGCAGAAGTCTTTGTGCTCAGGGCAGGCTCTTCTTTCACTGATTCTCCTGCCACTCCACATCAAACTGTGCCAAAACACTTTTCAAGCCTAAACGTTTACGTGCATTATGTTTTCTTTATATTTGAGTGGATACAGTTGAAGTTGTTGTTGCACTTAGATTGGTTTTGTTTGTTGGTGCATTTGCATCAATATTACCAAGATATACACCAATTTTTAGTAGTTGTAAACTGTAAACTCAAAAGCAACATTATTGCAAAGCAAACCTTGTTTATCTTACTGAGTGCTACTGTTCTAATGTGTGCTGCAACACTGACACTGTGAGACGAATAAATGTTTACTCCTGACTTAGTCATCCTGACATTCTATGCTGAACTCTGTGGAAAACTATGATTGATTTAAATATGGTCATCAAGAGCCCTCGGAAAGAAGTTTAAAGACAATCTAGCATAAAGAATAATAAAAGCATGAATATGAAGAAACTATTTACGTCAAACAACTATTAAATTCAGGTGACCAATTGTCAAAACTACACATAGTCTTGAGGTTCAAAACACTGAAATTCAGTGCAGGTCACTTCCAAGAATTGGGCAGCTGGCCTTCTTTTCTAAACAGCCTGTGACGCACATACCCAGAGTCCCATACGTATTGTCCGCTTTGGCCTTCTAAACTAAAGCCTTTGGATGGGGCCAGGCCAAATCCACTAATGATTTCAATGTTTTCTGGTGCCACTGCGCATCACATGGTCTGTATCAATCATATCCAGAAATTACAGATTTATTAACGTTAAGGAACCTATAAAGATTGTATCCTATTGTTATTTAAAAAGCACTAGAGTTACAACTAAACTAAAATAGATAGTGTCTAATTTGAAGATTAAGACAGATTTAAGTTGCCGCTTCTGACTCTTCACAATCACGAAGTAAGGACTCCCTGCAGGCGCAGAAGTTTTGCAAGGTTTAAACCAACTGAATTTTACCAATTTAACCCAAATGATAGTCTTAGGTGTGGCTCATGCTTTATGCTTGGATAATCAGTAACATTGCAATATTTTGGGTATTTTTAAATATGATTGGGAAATGATCATGTATGCAATGTCTCATGGTGATTAAAACCATTAAAAAAGTAAATCTGCCTAATCATAAAACAACATATCTATTACATTTGCCAAACACTGTTTAACAACTTTAAAGTTACAAAAATATAATTTTAATTCTGGTAATACAGGCCTGTTACCATAGTCCCATGTCAGCTGTACATGAGCAGTTCA